TTTTTTTGTTACAATAAATTCTTTAGAGTGGTTTGATTGACTATCAATTAAAAATGGTACATCATTTTCAAACTTTGGGCCAAGATAAAAACAGTGTGTGGAGAAATAAGAAGTATAAGGTGGTTTTTTAATATAAATATGTTGCTATTTTTTAAATATATTTCTAGAAACAAAAGAAAAATTTATAATGGATTTTATCAAAAGTTAACATTACTCATACATTTAAGCAATATATTCGAAATTTTTCAATTAAGTTATTACACATCTGATTTCTTTTTTAACACGGTTCATTTTTCTTTATGAATTTGTCTAGAAATCATTATATTTTTAAAAAAAAACGAATAAACAAACTAGAGATGAGGCAATTATAGCTGATTTCATAAATATGTTCATAATATTGACTACAAATGGTAGAAAAAAATCATTGTCCTTCAAATATTCTTTTCTTGTTAATATGATAAGGAATAAGTGAAGCAAGAACATCCAAGCACTCGCTTACAGATCTTGTAATCCGCAAATATTTGATAAATAAAAAACAAAAATAAATAAAAAACAAAAATAAATAAATAATAATAAATAGGTTTATAAAACATTCATTCTACCTTTAGTCTTAAGGAGCAACAAATATAACACAAAATGGTAAATTTATTTACTGTTTTGAAAGATTAATATTAGTGCTTAGTAAAACTTTATAAGCTACGAAACATGCAAGATGAGAAACATGCACGTTGAAAGATAATTAAAATTTCATTTCAGCATTAAAGTTTTTTATATTTTGAAATGCTTTTTTATTTATAAACAGTATGTAAATCAAAACTTATGGTCGAATTTTGAAAGAAAAATATATATTTCAATTTAATGACTTTAAAGAAATATATTAAACACACTCATGTTTTTATAAAATTTATATTTCAATAATAAATATTTGTATATATTAGCTAACAGAAGTACAAAATATTTTTGACAATTAAAAATGCGTATACTTTGTTTGTTGTAATAATTGATTAAATTATTTAAATGAGTGTTTACTTCTAATTGTTAAATACTTTTTTAAAGGTAAGTATGTTTATGGAAGAACACTGAATATACACCGAGAAAAAAGTATGGCAAAAGTACGGTATGGTTAGAAAAAAAAAGCATAGCTTAAAATTGGTAACATTACTGAGATACTAGAACTTTACTAAGAAATTACTATAGCAGTAATCTTTAAGTTTTGTTTTTTTCAAATTAGGTGATTTTTTTTTTCAAATTGGAAAGAAATATGGTCCTAATAGTTTGGTCAGGAGAATGGTCTAAAATTTGAGCCCCTTAATGTTTATTTTACTTTCAGCGTATTTCAGCATATTTCGTGAACTTTTTAAGCGAATTGAAAAATTTTTTGCGCGCAATTATAAAATTCATTTATTCATGCAAAATATAACTTTCAGTAAATATTTATTATTTTTTATTACTTTGTTTAATAATAGTTGAAAAAATTTTGAATTATAAAGTATACAATTTTTACATCATTTTAAAGAACGCAGTTTTAAATAGCAAAAGACAAAATTTGAGCGAAATCTGTCGAATAATTCCAGAGAAATAGAATTTAGAAAATACGACTTTTTAATCAGCATTGTGGAGAAACTAGAACTAGTAACGCCCCCTAACGAGAAACTAGTAGAAACTCAGAGGCAGAGAGAGAGAGAGAGTTAGAGAGTGTGAATGAACGGTAGAAAGCCTGCCATGCAGAGCTCCTTATTATTATTTATTTTTTTCATATATGTTTTATATGTTATGTTTGTGTATGTGTTGAGTCAGTGCTAACTAAAAACATGTTGTTTACAATAAAATAATAAGTTAGCTATCCGTTATAGTTTTATTCCCCCCTAAGCACCACACATCACAACATGTTTGAGGTCATCCCTTCGAACTTTTAAGATTGAGTCCTAGAAAGTGAAGATCTGATCATTAGCTCAAAAGTTATTCATGGTGGTTCGTTTTGTAATTTGTCCACTGTACCTCGGTTAACTAATACCTTATGTAGTAATGCTAATAATGAATAGTATTATTAGTTTATATTAATTAATATTTTAATACCTTTTATATTTAAAAAAAATAGAATATTTGATGTAACTTGTTGTAATTCTCTTTTAATGCAATTTTGTTTTATCGTAAAGTAAAATATAATTCCTGTTTCAAACTGAAATAAACAGTATTTTAAATTTAGAAATTGCCTATAACAAAGTTTAATTATATAATTCATAATTTATAGTTTATTAGATTCGATTTAATTTATTTTTCAAATTGTCGTCACAGATTCGATTTAATTTATCCTTCTTGTCCAGTATTTATTTTTCAAGACAAAATTAAATTAACACCTGAGACAGACTTGTTGGCTATTGACTNGTACTGAGTCATTAAAGCAGAAATTTAATTATATAATTCATAATTTATAGTTTATTAGATTCGATTTAATTTATTTTTCAAATTGTCGTCACAGATTCGATTTAATTTATCCTTCTTGTCCAGTATTTATTTTTCAAGACAAAATTAAATTAACACCTGAGACAGACTTGTTGGCTATTGACTAAAATAAAGCATTTTTCTTTAACAATGTATCTAACAATCTATTGAACAATATCTGTACCTTATTTTAAGATAGTTAATTCTGAAGTCTTATTTTAAGGTAGTTAATGTCGTTTGAAGAAGTTTTTACACTTATTTCCTTGCAATTATTTTCAAAATGGCTATTAGTAACAGCTGCAACTGTTATTTTTCTCTTTAGTTTGATTGCCGTCTTTTATAAAAAAATATTTGTCACATCTTCTTTCTTTATTTTTTAATGGCTTTCATATTACTAGTTTTAGACAAGGTTTATAAACGAAAAAAAATTCTAAACTTTATTTTTGTTCTATGAGTAATTTTTACAAGTTGATTAAAATGATACAGTTGAGTTGATTGTATTTCGCATAATTTAACATATGTGTTAAAAAGGCAAATATATTAACATTTTTATAATTTTATTGATAAGAGAGCATTGCTTAACAAATAATTTAAAATTACTTTTTTAAAAATCTATTAATTTTAAAAATTTATTATCTAATTTTAAATTACTCTTTTTATGAATTGTTCATTTTTTTCATCATGTTAAACATGTAATAACGTAAACAAATATTTTTCTAAAAAATTTTAAGACTCTTTGCATTTTTAAACGCTTTAAGAGCATAAAAATAATTTTCTGATAATTCGAAGTGTTTTCTTTATTTATAAAATATAAACCACATTATACTCTTTAATTAGTTAAAATAATAATTGTGAAGCATTAATAAGATAAATGATTCTTAGAGTCCCTCTTTAGAAATGGTTCTAAAAACGGCTGTTTGAATAATTTAATTTTAACCAGTTTTAAGAAATCATTTCTTTTGAATTTTTTATTTACATTAACGCTTTATTCCATTTTCAGAATTAGCATAGAGAGCTCTAGAAAACAATAAGCTAAACTTAATATGGGACAAATGCAACATTGTAATTACTACAAATGTGCTAACTAATGTATTTTAATGTTGCTATATTTTGCAAACTTTATACTGTATTTAAAATATTTTAGATAGAATCCCTTTTTGGAGATGGTTTTAAAAATAGGTTGAATTGCCTGTTTTCCACATAATTTTAGCCACGGATTTGCCCGAAATCATGTTTCATATTTCTTTCTCTTTTCTATTTAACATATTTAAGTAAATATTTATTTTTTAAAATTATTTATTGTCAGCTTCTTTAAATTATCCAGTATAATATTACTTTGCGCACATCCATTTTCGGGCCCATCCTTGGTAACTAACAAATCAAACGCACTTCAGTGATGCAGCAAGAACGCACTTTAATACAAAACTCCCCTAGTTACGCTTTTAGCTCAATTTACGCTTTTGTTTTCATTTTTTGCAATCTGACAACCATGTTACGAAAATATTTTAAGTCATTCTTGAAAAATTTCCCGTTCATGTAAGTTCATTTGAATTCGCTTCTCGCTTTATAGATTTCCTTTCATGTTTTATACTGTTTTACCTGTTATTTTTACTTATTGTGTTCTACTTCATTTGTTGTAAATTTTTTTGTAAAGTTTTTTTAGTGCTTCTCACCCTATTGCATTGATATATTTTGCTTTAGCTATACTGATGCAATATTAGAAAGCATTCTTTTTTACGGATATAATGGTGTGAGCTGATGAAAAGATTATATCTTTTAATGAAATAACTAAAAAGTTTTGAACTAGGCTTCTTTTTTACTGATTCCCATTTGATTTTAAAAATACTCAAAATATTATTCAAAAGTTACGGCATAGGCATATTTAGTTTACAGTTTAAGTGCCCTACCTTAAAGAAGTGAGCTATAATTTCAAACTAAATGTACCATCAACCCGAAAAGAATCATTTGGGCTTTAGAACAAAAAAATGACCATTTGTTTATATGCCAATTTAGCGAGATTTTTCCTCCCAGATCGAAATTATTAAGATAAATAAATTGATTGAATGAATCAATGGATATCAATGCAATTGCTTGAACTAATAACCTTCAATAACCTTTTAAATATTGAAAAATAAGACAAAAAACGTTATTTATTTTAGAAAAACTGGGGCTTTTTTTCATATTAATGTTTATGGCATTTTCAGAATTACCATAAAGAGTGCTGACTAAAATCAACCTAAACTTATCATGTCACGAAAGCAACGTTGTAATTACTTCAAATATCCTAATTGCGGTATTTATTGCTACATTATTTTGCAAACTATGATCTGTATTTTAAATAGATTATAAAAAAAAATTTAAAAACTGCATGCTCCAATGATCGATTGTCAAAAACACCTTTCGAATAATACTGTATACAATAATTCCTCATCATTTCATCCTCTTTATTTTCCATACAATACATAGCTCCATACAATTTTCTATACATAACATACAATAATTTACAATAATATGAAAATTACAATAGTACAATAGTAAAATTACAAATACCCAGAACCTGTTAAAACTTAGATCATTGTAGATGAAAACTTAAAAGAGATATCAAATCTGATGTCATGTTATATTTTTAAATTATCATTATATTTCATTAAAATTTTAACAACTGTTCGGTCTTACTTGAATTTTCCTTAGATTCTATTATTACAATAGCGCCCTCTGGTTAGAAACGCTTTAATTAGTTAGTTTAACATCAATTCTCTAGATAGCCAGACGTGGTAGCAATAGATTGTTAATTGCAGCTTACTAAAGTGTAAACTATTTGTTGTAAATATGTATATATTTAATACTTAAAGTTTTCATAGCCATTACTTACTAGATTTGTCGTCAGCTCGTAGTTGCTAATTAGCACCTTCGGAATCGTATAAACATTTATCTTATCTCACCGGAGTTGATTTTGATTTACATAAGTAATAGCTAGCACAGTTGTGGAATTAAATAGATGCCTTAAAGGCGGTTCAAATTTTAAATAGCTGAGTAATTTTTTGTGCATATGCATTTTCTTAAGTATCTTTCCTGGTTTTCCTAAAAATGGTGGATACTAAAGTACTGAGCTAGAAAAGCAGAAATATAAGAAGTAAAATCAACAGCAGTAGCATATAATCTGTTAAAATTTTGTACATTTTGAATGAAAATTCAAGAAGCTATCACTACATAAGAGATATGCAAACTGTTAAATATATGATCACCATGGATGAAAATTGTAGTTTGTCAAAATTAGGGGAGTTTATCAAAATTAGGAGAGTATTCAGTTATCAAATTTAGGATTGAAAAAAAAAACTTTTTTTTGTTTATGCTATTTAGAGTTTGAAAGATTAAAGTAGATGCTTTCTATAATTCTTGCTTCTGTGAATCTAATTTTATAGTCCTAAAAAATAATCACTGATGTGTATTTTAACAAAATATATGAAATTAAGTTTTTTGTTTCCTTAAAATTTCTTAAAGATGATTTCGTATAGAAATTTTTAGTGTTCATAATCTCTCCTATAAGTTCGATGTCGTTTATATATCTGCCTGCCGCTTTCATTTTAACACGCGAAATAAAATTTATTATAATAATGATACATTTTCAATATCAATGTAAGAAATTATTATTTTCTTTTTAAAAAAAAGTGTTCTCTCTTAAATGAAATTCTGACACTTAAAAACTTCGTTATGAAAAAATAGCTACAGTATTATGAGCCAATAATTACTGTAAGAGCATTATAAATTTTTTAATTACTTAAGTTTTAAAAATTTTTTAAGAAATTGTTATACATTTTAAAATTTTGGCATAAGCACGTTTATTACTACACAGTCCGAAATTTATCTCAAAAACGGATTAAATAGCAATTTATTTAATTGTTATTTATTCAAACAAAACAGTCAAATAACCCCAAATAAAATAGTATTCAAACTGTTAAGTGTGAGAAAAACCGTTTATTAAATGCTTTCACCTAATTTGGTTGAACAACCAGAATTTTATAGCAAAAACCAGGTCCACCAAATGAAACCACCTAGATCTTTGTAGATAAGTACATATTATAGCCGAGAAGGCAAATCTATCTATCTCATGACTATCTCATTTGATGGAATCTACTAATAAAAGTTAATAATTTTTTTTTGAAAGGAAACCGTGAACTCGCAATGGAGAGAAAAGACTATCTTCGTTTGGTTCTGTGAGCAGCAAAAATGATCATCATCCTGGTAAATGCACCTCATAGGGCGAGCCCAAATGAAAGGAAGTGTGAGTCCAAGCGTTGACACCACAATATTTCCTTCTTTATTTTCAGCACATGAAAAGTTTCCAGTGCTCTACAATCACTGATTAGTAACCCTCGATAATTAGAATATGATACTCGCATTTACGCATAGATGGCAGCTACATACAGCAGCTTAACAAAAAATAGTCTAATGTTTCCTATCTCTTGCGATAGGTGAAAAAAACACATATAAACTAATTAAATCCCATGATTAATTTGATAAAACGCAACTCAGCAACAACCTAACTTCAATGTCTAATTAAATTTCTTTTTTACAAGTTTAAAACCAAGATTGTTGAAAATTGGGAAAAAGAACTGTATTGTTGTTCGTGGTTTTTTTACCATACGGTAAACGGTTTTAAAACCGTAAAATCATAAAAATGTTCTTTACCATAAACTTTATGGTAAATTGGATGAACAGACAGCTGTCAATTGTTTTATTGTAATTTTGAATGAAAATCCTAACAGTATAATTTTAATTTATTATATTCAAGGTCTGCATGTTAAAAAATAGGCTTACTTAATTCGAAATTAATTTGATAGTCTTCGTGAATTCGAAATACTATTTTCAATAATAGATAAAATAAATATTCGAAAATACAGAAAAAAGAACAAAAATTTCGATTTTAATTTTGTTTTTTAAAATTATTGATAATATTGTCTTTTGCTTTGAAAGTTGTTTCATCATTAGGCTTTGTTCTTCAACATGTTGTTCATACTCATCGAGAATATTTCCCTGACTTTGAGAGACCTGTAATAAAGACTTTTAAATGTAAATAATTAATAAAATATAAAGGGAAAAATTGTATATGAACAGAAATATTATATTGTATATTTTTATTGTTTACATTAAGCGATTGGTTTTTTCAGCTTCAAGTCCCAATTTTTCTTTTCATTTCGGGGCTGATATTGATAATCAAGACGTTGTGGTTGATTTCCAAAACTTTTATAATTTTTATCATTGTCTGGTAGTGACATCTTTCTGTCTGCACGTGCACTATTGTCACTGGATCTAAAATGAATAAATTTTAATGCATATAAATATTTTAATTACACGTAATTAGTTTTAAAATATTAAATTTTTAATAAAAATAAAATTACATGTAATGATTAAGGTTTCTTGCTTTCAACTGCAGATATTTTTCATAATATTGCGGTTCGTTTTGGTGGTGGTGAGAGTCACTTGCATCTTCTCCTGCATAATCTTCATCTTGCAAAATTTTTGAATTTGCAGTTCCTTTAGCAGCATGAAGCAATATTCCCACGAATAAAGTAAACATAAATAACGTCATCTGTAAATACATTGCATTATTCTCCAAAAGTCAGTTTACTTTTCAAAGCCTTCTAATTTCTAGGCTATTTGCAATAAAATTAGGCGGTTTGGACAGCAATACTCAGAAACACGGATAAGGGTTTCTAATAATAAAAAAATATGGCGTTACATTGGAGTTAAGGGATTTATAAAATTAAATAACAATTTCTTATACGCAATAAATGTGTTTTATCTTCATAGCTATTTTATGCGTTTCATGTGAAATACAATCTTGCCTTGCTTAAATTAATCAGATGAGCTAATTGTGCATAATCTTTGCTCTAAGGTTGTAACTTTGGTATTGCTTTAAGAAATGCTTCTACACGAGTATTTTCAAAGATTCAAGATACCGAAAAGCAAATTTTAGTAAAATTTTATCCTTATCTTTTGTGTTAAGGCATGTTTTCTTTGCCTGATGAAGCTTTATTAGTAGAACTGTTTCGCAAAACTGAAACTGAAGAGACTGTAAGTTTAGCTCTGAGTTCCTATCGTATATTTCGAGGTATTAAAAAATGAAAAAAGCTGATGACTCTGCCCAGATTGAAGGCTATGATAAAAAAAAAATTAGAGAAAACGAGTTCTTTGGAAGATGGCAAAAATTGCAAGAGACCCAGAATGTCTGTTGACATCGTACAGGTTGAGGAACAAGATGCTGACTGACGATACAATATAAGGTGGGTGTAGTACCCGTACTATTACGCAATGAATTGGAATTCACTATGGAAGAGTATAGTCATGTTTAAAGATTCTTCTAAAAAAGTGCCCGTTTAAAGTGTAATTCTTTAAAGATTTACGCTGCATTATAATCTACATTAGCCTCTTAAATGTTTTGAGAACTGATGAGGCTCACTTTACGCTACCATTGCCGTATATGAGCAAGCACATTATTCACAATTGGTCCTTTTTTCTTCGAGGAACTGTATGGTGACGCATTTGAAACAGATTCCGTCACAGGTAAACGATATGAAGCACTATTAAGAACTAAACTCATCCCGCAAGTAAGGCAAGCACTTTTGTAAATAATTTTGAACCTGATTCAGAAGACAAAAGAACTCTTGGATCAAGTATTGGACAAAATTTACCCTCGTGGAGGTGTTTTTGATAGAACTAACCCGCATTGTGATTTTGGGTTGTGAGGCTTTTAAAGTCATGTGTGGATAAAGATTAGGTAACGTCATTGATCCATTTAAATAAAGCTATACGCCACCATGTTTCAAGCTCCTCGGAAATGTTATTTAACGTTGTGTAGTGTGTCTTCCAGCTTCTGATGGCAGTAATTTTCAATGATGTTTTATACATTAAATAGCTATAATTATTACTAATCCATATTTGAAACATTCAAATTATATTACAATTATTTTGAACTTTAAATGTTTAAAATAACTTGTAATACAATTTTATAAATCCTTTAATTCAAATGCAACGCCATCTTTTGTGAAAAATGCAACTAATATAATTTCTATTCTTTATTAAAAAATCCTCACATAAATCCAATGCATATCATATAGCACATCTTTGCTAATTGCATCGTTTCATTGTAAATAGTTAATGAATAGTTTAAGAATTATGAGGTTATTAAAAAGTAAACTGATTTATATATATAAAAATGGTGGNATTTGTGCGACTCGTCAAGGAGGTGCTGAAATATTTATTTTTTGTTTCAAAATCAAAGAAAGTATTTCTTTAATTAAGTGGAAGGTGTTGAAATTTAATTTTTTTCCAAATCTTATATATATATATATATATATATATATAGCACAATAACGGAACAGAAAAGAATTGAAGAAGAGAGAGATTAACAATGAAAATTAAGAAAAATAAGAAAAAATAGTAAGTTTTATTTAATGCGGTGCAAGTACATAGAAAACAAGGAAAGTAATATATTTTTTAGAAAGGATCGGAAAAAATTATTAAAATAAAATGTTTTTAAAAATATTAGCTGAGTGGCATTGAGTTTCAGACAGTCAATCTTCAATTCCGTAGGCTTGTAAGTTTGAGCCTAACCCAGAAGACAAGGGAACTCTCGGATCAAGCATTGAGAGAAACTAGCGTTCGTGAAATACTTTTTGATGGCTCCAACCCTCATTCGCGTTTTATGGAGAGGAGAACCTCATACACCTTCCACGGTCAGTCCAACTACATATAGATTCTAACCCAGGATCCGTCTACCACTGAGAATATTTTACGGCAATCTTGCGGTCGGTGCAAGCAGAGTTTGTATCTACCAGTCACCGTGACTCAGGTCATAGAATTTTGCATAATATTTATGAGAAGTATCAAAAATGATTGCCAACGTTTCCATAGTTGTTACGTTAAAGCAAACTGCTTGCGTCGAATGGAATAAGTTTGAGAAACCTCAATTTAATTTTAGGCAATCTGAAAAGAGCTCTCAAGCTTTTAAGAAATATTCTAAAAGATATCAGTGTAGGTTTGAAAAATATTAAAAACAATGAAAAGGCTTAGTGAAAAAAAACATGGTAAGTGACATTTTGAAAAAACTCCTTTCATCAAATCAATTGATTATGCTAATAGGGATTATGCTTATAAAATATGCTAGTAAGTAGGCTAATAACATGAATATATATACTAATAAAGGAAGTGCACTTCTGTAAAATTTCTATCGAAACAAAACAAAGCTTAAATAAAAGAGCATAAGAGATTCGAAAAAAAGTGAGATAAAAATTGAAAATACTCAATTGACTAAGAGCATCTTTGATAATACTCAATTGCTAAAAACTATGCTAAATTGTGACTTTTTGAAAGTAATCAATTGACCAAGAGCATCTTAGGGGATCATTCGAAAATACTTAACCGCTCAATACTGTTATACCGTATGTGGATACTGTTATACCGCTCAATACTATAGTATAGGAAGTTTTGAAGATACTCAATTGATCAAGAGCTTCCTTGATATTCCGTTTTATTATGAGTTGATTTTTACCACTGTTTAAACGTTTCAAATAATTGAAAATGAAAATTTCAAAATTTTATCTTTAAAAATCACATAAATTTCAATATAAGGACAATCATATTAAGCATATGTTCCATTTAAAGTTTAAAAGCATAAAAATCTTTAGATAATTCGCAAAAATAATCAGCATAACAAGAAATCATGTAAAGTATATGTATCTCTATATGTACTTACGAATATTTTTGTATTAGTTTAAAATTCCATTAAATACGGTCAGGATATAGTGAGATATCACAATAAATATATGCGATCTCCTTAGAATTTTCTGCCCAAAAGCTTTTGAGCTGATATTAAAACTTTTAATAAAATTGTAATTCCTCATAAAAATTTCATATACTTGAAGCTTTGAAACAAAAATTTTTGTAGTTTTAGAAGCACATTATTATTGAAGTTAGCTAAGATAATTTAAAAACGAATGACTTCTTTTTCAAAAAACATTATGATGATTATTATGATTCTACGAAATTTTTTCTTAAAAATGATCCTTATTTAAAATCAAATTAAATAAAACGTACGCATATTTCTTTTGTAGTTATCTACGTTTTATAAATGAATAAATAAATGTTTAAGTAAATAATGTTGTAAAGTAGTATTAAGAAAAACAATTGATCATTGTCTTAGAACCTTAAAATCATTGTCTTAAGATCATTGTCTTAGACTTAAAAAATTAGCATATAGAATATCTACGTTCCACGAACGTACCATGATATAAAGCGCAACTGATATATTCTCTGATCCATCTGGTATTAGCTTTCAATTAAAGCATTATGAAATTTAAAAAGAAAATGCAACATAAATGCAAATCTTTTAATAAAATTGTTATTTTTCATAAAAGTTTTATATAATTGAAATTTTTAATCGAATTTTTTTTGTAATTTTAAAATTACGTTATAATTGAAGTTAGCTAAGATGATTAAAAAACGAAAGATTTTTTTGAAAGAAATTATATATAATTGATTATACATAATTTACATAATACATATACATTATTTAAGAAAACTTTTCTTAGAAATGATTCTAATTTAAAACCAATTCAAATATAGTGTACGCATTGTTTTATAAATTGTCGTTTTCAAAAATAAATAAATAAATGTCTAACTAAGTAATGTTGTAAAGTAGTATTCGAAAGAAAAAATAAACAATCATTGATTGAGAACCTAAAAGCTTAAAAAATTAGCACACAGGATATTAACTTTTAATGCACTTACCATGATTTTAAGCTCAACTGATATATTCTCTGATTCATCAGATATTAGCTTTCTATTTAAATCATTATGAATTTAAAAATATAAAGCAACATGAAAGTCTAAAAACCGATTTCACTCACATGGAATTAAAAAAAAAATCCTGTTTCGGTCATGCGTGAAGCCACTCCGCCGAGCCCATCTCTTACAATTCAAGGACATGTTTTTTTTATTTACATGTTCAATACTATGTAATCATCTACTATGTTAAGATGATAGTCTTAACTAGAGCATGACATTTTTATTTTCAAATGAAAACCTTTCACTTTCTGTTGCCTAATGTTTACTTTATTGAGTAAAATTAGCAAAAACTAAATAAATAATATATTAGTAAATATTAGCTTTGTACACGGATGATTAGAGAATTGAGTTTTGAAATGAATTAACTGCCATAAACTATTATTTTTTCTTAGTAAAGAAGCGAAAACGGTAAATTTTTACCTCTTGAGTAAACTCTTATTGTAGTAAGTAATCGGTAATTGGGACTTAACAAAAATGTCATATTAGACAATTTTCTGCCTTATGCAAACACTGAACTCTCAACAAAGAAAATCAATTCAAAAAAATCAGCCTATTATCAGTACTTTAAACCACAATATAGAGCAAATCTTTCAACTTTAATCAAAAAATAAAACTGATATACAAATTCGGAAAAAGACAAAATAAGTAAATAACATTTAAAATAATATATCAAAATGGAAAAGCGCTTAAATCAGCTAAAACCAAATTTGTTTTATTTTAATTCAGAAAGTCAAAAATACTATTCCAGCAGAAAACGAAAAAAATTATAAGATTTGTTTGTTCTCTACTTCTCAACTTTAATAAGTCTCAGGTTGAACCATATTATCGAGAATTTTAGTTTAAACGTACGAAAATATCGTTAAAATTAGAACGATATGAAGGTTAGTTAGATTTAAAATTGAAAACATTCTGCTCGACAAAGTCGACAGATATTCCTTCCTAATGTTGTTATCATAAAAAAAATATTCATCAAAACAATATGTCACTTGTCTAGATAGCACAGTGACAGTTTCTCCTCCCTCCTCTTCAATAAGTTTTAGATTAATATTGCAGCATAACTTGTGGGATGGTGTTAGCTTCAGATATTCATAGTGAGCTTAAATCACATTTTTTTAAACTAATTTGTAGCTTTGCCCTAACTATTTTAATATTCAATTACTCAGACATGTGCCTTAAACTTTAGTGCAATATTATAGAAATAGTAATCATTTGTTGGTGATTTTACGTTTTTATTTCATATAATTTTTGATTCCGTTTGAAACATGTTGACTGTATTATTTGCCATTTGTTTATTTCTAAAGTGAACGAAGTTTTTAATCAGATGATATATGGGTGATTCTCACGAAACATGACAATTCAGACCAAAAAATTTCTTCAAATTCAAAGTCTTCAAAATAATCTAAAAAATTTTTTTATGCTTCCTTAGCTACACTTATTAATATCTTATAAACAGCAGTGTAGTTTAATGACATTTGCTCGAGAAAAAAAATAAAATAGAAATTCACCAAATCTTGAATGCCAGGAAAATGACATATTATCTTAGAAGTTTAAAAAACAGTCATTTCAAGTTAATAGTAAGTAACTCAACTTAAGCCTTTATGTTAGATGGACCATAAATTGCTTAAATTAATTCTTCTTATCCACTGTAGAAATAAACAAAAAAAATTTGTTGCTGATATGAGCAGAATAGAATTGTGTATAATAATCAATCATTAAATAAATAAATAACTTTGATTACATCCAAGCATATTACAATCATACATAAACTTGGTATTAGGTTAATATTTGCTTTCCCTCTTTACATTATTAGAATTTCTGGTCACACTTCAATGCCCTGGCATTCATAAGCCAGGAAAATGACAGCCAGGATAATGACAAATTCGCCATTTTATAGCATATAACTTTACTTTATTTTAATATTTTGGCCTAAGCTGTTTATATTCTGCAGAAAACAACAATATTTCTTAAAATAACACAGATAAATCTATGTAGTTTTTGTTATTAAAGATTTCAAGAAGCCAGGAAAATGACAGCATAAAAACCTACTCACCTTGAAAAATTTTTTGAAATAGATTTTGAGCCAGAAAATTGGTTCTTTAATCATGAAACAAGGAATAGAGGGTAGGAGGGTATCTATCAATCTATATCAGATAGGAGGGTATCTTATCAATCTATTTAACATAAGATATTGATTCCTGGCGCCATCTATTTTGGTTATAAATCACTAAATAAAAGTAGCCAGGAAAAGCCAGTTGACAGAAAAAATCATTTTAAACGAAGTTTTTGTAAACAATACCCTCTGCGAATATTTTAGAAATGCTTACATAGGATAAGATTAAAAAAAAATTAGATTTTGAAAAATGTATGGGAAGTTTTGAAGCTAGTTATTATTGGAAATATTGTTTGGGACATGCCAGGAAAATGACATTTTGATATTCAAATAAATTTTTTAAGTATAGAAAACAGTCAATGCTAGTGCAAAGTCATTTTAAAATGCTAACAGCAATGATGTTTATTAATTTTTTTTAGAAAAATGTTCTTTTAGTATTATAGTATTAGATCTTGGAGCAAGGGACAGTGAATATCATGCTTCGTGAGAATCACCCATATACATGATTGTGTTTCTCTTACTCTTAAATCTTCTTTTTCTGCAAATTTCATACTTTTCTGGTGTTCGCGAGGGCACTTAATGACCTTGAAATTTGTGAATAGTTTCAGTTTCTTGCTAGGTTAAGGTCAATTTTAAGAACGCGCCAAATATACACAGCGCTTTTTTTTAGTACTACTCATTGATATGTATTCACAGAAATCTATATCTTTGTTCTTCATGTTTGGTATTAGCAGATTTCGGCAATTAAAGTCTAAGAAAATTGCTTTTTCTTAGACTTTAGAAAATCTTTTCGATTTTTTTTTAAATGAGTTTTGACCTTCGATTCAAAATATTCACTGAAAGTGTTAATGTCTTAATAGTTAGTGTGACAGTATTAGAACATAAAATTTCAGTCAATGTCATGATTCGCTAGTTTTACAAAAAGTATTGCCACTTGTAAATCAATGTGTTTTTTTCAAAATTCCAGAGGATACGCAACTTTGACCTCTTAAACTTCGAGAAAAAAAAAATTTCTTATCTAAATAAAAGGAAGAAAAAAAATAGCGAGTCTAACAGTTTTACATGAAAAACATATGCTAAAAATTTCAAAGAAATCAAAAATGCCAAATATCTCCATTTGCCTAATTTGCCCAATTGCTAAGGAAAAAAAACTGGCTTTTAAATTTGATTACAAGATGTTAAAATGAAAAAAGAAAACATAATAAAGACATTTCTCTTAGCATTATGGATCTAATTTGCACTTTATTAGGGTTGAAAGTAACAATATCGTTGTACCTTGTTGTCGTTTAACGTTGAGTTGATTTTTCTGAGATTACTAAAGGATTCTGAAACTTTTGTGTTTTAACTTTCAACGTAACGCAGTAAGACACATAAACAAACGACAGATGTTTTGTTTTAGGCTATACAGATTATATATATACAAAATATAAAATAATAATAACAAATGACTATGATATTTTGATGCTTTTTTATGAGTTTTAAAAATAAATAAGTTTATTTATTTATTTATTAAAACAAGTCAATTCTTTTAGAAAACAGAAAATAAACTTTGTCTTATCGTTGAAAATATTGACGCTTTTTAAATTTTCACACATGTAAAATTTTATGTTGCATGATTTATGATTTCGAGTCAAGATAAATTGCTCAAAAATATCGAGACCCATCCCTGAATATTTTAAGATAAAGTACCTTTAGATGAAGCGAAAAGCGAGAATTTGTTTTGCGTACACTGAGAGTGGGAAAAAGTTTCGATACCGAAAAACAATGACGTCATATTTCATCATTTATCATTCTCCCTTTCAAGTAAAGCCATTTGAGTGTAACACTCAAACTTTTTAAATTCTTTAGGGCTGGTGAATTTTTTTTTATAGCTAAGGTGTAGAAAATTAGAGATAAGAAAACAAATTACGATCAGTATGTTATGCAAGTTTTTCAAGTAAAAGAGAGTTGTATCAGAATAAATAATTTTAACTCTAGCTTGAAAACATTTTATTCTCATTTTTTCGCAAGACCAATAAATGAAGATATTAAGCAGAAGATGTATTGACAACTGAAAATTACTTTCAGCTTTAATATTAATGCTCTTATTCTCTGGTGTTAGACTTTTTTTATTGCAATACATATCATCACGTTGCAATATTTAGAAATATATAACACTTTGTATATATACATTTTGAAATAATCCTTTGATTTCATGCTGTGAAAATTTAATTATGGATAACAAACTTAACAGACATTCGGGATGTCATATAAGTAACCAGAACAGATAACATAACAAAACATAATAAAACGTGAAAACATAAATTAAAAATGATACTTAAGAAAATCTAATATAATGTGTGGAGATAAACAAGAGTATCAAATATTATTATGTCCATCATTATGAATTCTTTATTTATTGTTTAACTTTTATAGATAAAGAAAATGATCTAAAGTCTCATTTTGGTGTTTTAATTTTTTTTTCTTCAGTGCATACACTTTTTTGTTGTACTAGTTTAATATTTTACATAAAAAAAAAACTCCTATGTAATATAAATAAGAATCAGCGATGAAACTAACCATAACTGAAGCATTAATTTGTAAACTATTTCGAAAAATTAAATTATCTCACATTTATATTATCAATTTTGTTTTGGAATTAGATACCACTTAAAATAATGATGCACTACTAAGAAAGTTTTGCTTAAAACCATCATAAAAATAAAAAATATAGGCATTATTTTTATAAAAAAAACATTTAAAACAACTCTGAATGAAATTATTCTCATCGTTAAGTTCGAAACATTTTACCAACCCAATTCCAAAGCAATGCGATTAAGTTGCACGTTCAGACATTCCAATAGAACGTCCATTTTTATACCGTTAAGGACGAGTAATTCATCGCTCCTAATGATATCAACACAAACTGAAGTCAGAATCTTGGGGAAAAAAAGGAACGAATCAAATTAGGAATATCTTTTTCCAGAAAGATTTCTCGAGAAGTATTGAGACTTCGGGGTAAGAGAGAGAATTTCTAGGCGAAGAAACCTTTGTGTGGGGCTAAATTAGAAAGCCCTTACGTAGAGCCTAGTCGTTCCAAAGTTCTAATTAAACAAAAGCCCGGATTAACGAAGTTCAGAAATTAATTAGGTCCTTGAGTGTTACACAGGCTGAAAGGGGCTCTCGTAAGAGATATTCCGTTGTCCAGATTTATTGGTAATTTAATTTTCCTGCAAATGTCATTAGTAAAAGCTAATGCAATGTGAGATTGTATTACTTTACACGTGCAGTGCTTTTGTTTTCCTATCTAAGAATAGTAAAACTTGGAATAATTAGCAGCTTCTCCATGAGTGTTCTCGAACATAAACAACGCGTTTTTAATACTTGAAGAAATAAATTATTTTTAAAGCATTATTGAAATGCATCATTGCGCAATTTGATAAAGACATACATGGTGTAGTCTATACATATCGAATAGACATACATATCGAAGAGACACTATTCAATCCCTCCAGAACTGGTTCTATTTATTAAATTTTGAGAAAACTTGGTGCTTACGTTATATGAACCGTGGGAAATAATTTTAGCAGTAAAATATAGAAAAAAACAGTGGCAACTAAAGAAGGATAAAAATCTGTTAAGGAAAGTTTATCAATTACAGAATGTGCTCAACCTGTGCTTTATTGATATCAATTGAGTGATGACAATGGATTGATGAGGTGTTGAAATCTTATTACGGCCTGTTTAAAGGTAGCGAGGAAAATTCCTCGGATTGCGTGTAATGGTGGCTTTCAACTCAAGTAAAGTCTTAATTCCTTCTCCATATACACGGTCTTTTAGGAATCATCACATACAGCAAGCACAGAGATTTAATTAAGTGAACGAAGTGGCCGGAAAAGTTCTGGATATTACATGAGCCTTACCAAAGTTACCTCGCCAAAGTCTTTGACTCAACGCCCAATCTGGTGAGTTGCTCTATCTCACATGAAGATAGTGGTGAGCAAACGTCGCCGTTGTTGTGAAGCAGGAATGACCTGCTGTCGCGGAAGTTTACGGTACTGTATCGTGACAGACAAAATTTTATGGCCTTAACGAGTGAGAGTTTAAAAAAAGCGGTCCGAAGGTAAAACCGAAGGTAGTAAAGTAATTCCATACCATGCTGTTATGTAATCAGAATGCTGCTGACATCGGATCTGAACATTACGGGAGTATCTCCTAATATTATATAATTTTGATTATTCATAGCTCCATCAAAAGAAAAGTGAGCCTCATATGACCTTACAATATGCCAAGGGCTTGAGTCGAAAATTTCGATTTTCTCAAAAAATCGCCAAATAAGTTCAAAGCGTGATTGTTGGACTTGAGGTTGCGGCATTTTCGGAACGGAATCGCCAATTCCCGTGACACCGATCGAGCATTTGCTGAAGAATATCCAGAATTTGAGACATTCTAATGTAAATAGAAGCAGCAGAGACGTCTTCAAGAGTTTCATTCAACCTCCAGCGCATCCTAGTCTCCAGGCATATAAAATTTCATAATCATCTTCTCCAAACCATTCTTCGATATGGAGCATTTTTCGCAATCTCTTTAAACGACGATATTCACGCAGTGCAACTAAGCTATTGCAGCTGTATTTGGAAGAAGAAAAAAAGTTTTACCAGTAAAGCTCGATCTTTCTTCTGTAAGGGCATGATTAAAAGTGACAAAGGCACTTAATTTTTGGGCTTCATAGAACCATTTGGCTTTAAATGCAATAGCTTTGACTAATTTTCCAAAAGAATTTCTGAAAAAAGCTATCTGGTGGTCAAAATATGAGCTATTTTTACTGTCGAAATCTTTTCTCCGTGGTTCGTACTGCGTATTCACTAAATTTCATCAACTTCAGGTAGGCAGAATGGGTAGAACGAGTTTTAGAGGGTTCTGAATAGGGTCAAATTAATTTCAACCAGTGTATATTATGTAAGGAATTTTCATTTTTAATTTGATGAATATTCATATTTGTGTTTCAACATAGTTGTGATTATATTGCTTTAGTTACAATTACACTGCTTATAAAATATAATTATATTTAATATACTTACAATATAAAAACAATAAATTTTCCAAATTTATTGATGGAAATCTTTTTCTGCAAATATCATAAGTAGAAGCTAATGTGATATGCGACTATATTACTTTATACGTTCTGTGAAGTTGTCCAAGAACAGTAAAACTACAGTAATAATTAGCCGCTTCTCCATAAGTATTTTCTAACATCAACAAAGTTCTTTTTAACACTTCATGAAATAAATTGCTTTTAAATTAATATTTAAATTAATTAGTGAACAATTTGCGATGAACATATAATAAAAAAGGAATTTTTATTGTTAATATATAGAATATTATTTGTGTTTCAACAGACTATATTGTTTTAAAATAATTAATTTTAAGTTATAATTACGTGGTTTAAGAAAATATATCATAAGTAATGCAAGACAATGGATCATTAATATGATTATCCAAATTAACTTTAATTTTCCTACAAATTTCACTGCTTGAAGCTATTGCAATATGAGAGTGAATTACTTTACACGTGGTGCGTTTTTGATTTCCTATCTAAGAATAATAAAACTAGTAGCTTCTACATAAGTGTTTTCGAATATCATCAACACTGTTTTTAATTCTTTAAGAAATCACTTACTTGTAAAATCTTGTTCAAATAAACGCAGAACTTGATAAGAACTTAAAACATAATGGGACGCAATAGTTATTAATTAAATAAGCATTCAAATTTGTGTTTAAGTAATATTGAGATCACATTATTAAAAGAAGAATTAATTTTAAGTTATAATTATATTGTTTATGAAATAAAATTATGAAAAGCATAAACAATAAAATTAATATCGTTGTTCAGATTTATTGATAATCTTAATTTCTAACATCTATCGTAGTAAAAGCTATTGGAATATGCGAGTTTTCATTTTATATGGGTTGAGGTTTTGTTTTAATATCTACGATGATAGACTTAGATAGCTAATTATTCTAAGTGTTTATCTAAGAACATAGACACTTATAATAACTATCAACTTTACCATCAGTATTCTTCCAAAAAATGAGCTTTGTTTTTATCATCTTTGAAATGTATTTAATTGCAAAAATAAATGTATTGCCCTTAAATTACCTTTAAATTGTATTTAAAAGAAAATATTGTATAATTTGGAAAGAACATATATTATAATAAGAATTATACTCATTTACTTACTCAAAAATCAAAATTGTCGATAAACAATGTGACAATTATATTGTATTAAAAAATTTATTTTTGTAATTACATTGCTTATAAAATGAAATTATAAACATTATGAAAGGCCGTGACGGCCTGGCTAATAGGGCCCAGGACTCTCGCTCGTCAGATCGGGAGTTCGAATCCAGCTGTCCGAAGACATGCAGTAAATGGAGACTGGCACGCGTTAAATATGTCGGGTCACAAAGACCTCCATGTTCCCATAACAAATTGTAACTCTGGGGTTACTTGATTGAGATTGATCATTCCCTGGTTTAGGTCAAAATTACTATCAGAGGATGAATGAGTGAAAGTATGAATGAGTCCGCCCTATAAATGGGTGTAACGCATGAGTGTGGCAGAAGTCGAATTTTTAGCCATAAATGGCGCCACTGCAAAACAAGAACAATCGCATCCCCAGTGCCTTAGTAGCCTACGACAACAACAACAGCAACTTAAACAATGTGAAAATATATACTTATAATAACATTATCCAGACTTATTGGTACTTTGATTTTCCTGCAAATGTCAAAGAATAGATGCTAATGAAATATGAGATTGTATAATTCTTCGTGTGCAGAGCGTTTATTTATTTTTTCATTTATTTTATTTAATTTAGGAATAAAAAAAACTTGAAATAATAAAAAGCTTCTCAATATCAAGAACATTGTTTTAATATTTCAATATTTAAAAAAAAATAATGCAAAATTTGAAAAGGATAAATTATGTAAAAATTATTTATTACTGATTTATTAATATTCAAATGTGTGTTAAGGTAAAATCTGTGACTATTTTATCTTAAAATAATTGATTTTAAGTTATAACTACATTGTATATAAAATTTTCCTTTCCACAAGTTTTAACTTACAACTTACGAATATAATATTCATAACGCTATTTTGAGTTCACATGTAAAGCTAATTTAGGAATAGGTGCTAATTTAGAAACTTTCAGATTACATTTTATACAATATTCACCTCGAATTTATATAATATTTATACGCATTGCAGTAAACGTTTTCTTTCTTTCTTTCTTTATTTTCCTTGTTTTTTTTTGTTTTATTAGTTTAAATAAAAGAGTTTAACACATGCCTCATATGATATCTTTTAAAAACATTTTGCTTTCAAAATCACACATAATTTTATAGAAATCAGTTGAAAAACTTCCCGAGAATTATATGTTTCATAAACAAGTATAAAATGTTATATAAATCTGTATTTTCTGAAATTGTTTCCTGGTAACCTTTCTACAGATTCCTTACAAATTTCTGAATTGTTAGCCAAAAAAAATCAATTGAGGTTATCAATTGTTCGAAATCAGTTGAAATTATTTGTATTAAATTCAATTTAAATTTTTAATGTTAATGACTTAATGACTGTTGACTAATGACTAATGAGTTAATGACTTGGTGTGGTACAGCATATCATTAACTTGTTACTAAAAAGAATTTAATGATTAATTACTAATTTAATAAAGAATTGAAAAGATAATTTAATGAAACTTTTATATTTCCTGCTTAACTTTCTTAACATTACCCTGATTAACATTTACTTTTGAAATTTCTAAATAATTTGTAAATAAATTTCTAAATAGTACATTAATTCAAGGAAAGATTATATTAGATAACACATAAAATATTCTTTAATCAACAACCTCATTATACGAGTTTTCATATTTTGTCAAAAATAAAGTTATTAGAGTTTGCACATAAGCAGAAAGTAAATAATTAAGTTAGAAAGAGAAAAAAAAACTTAAATCTAACGAATTATTACAGCAGATAGTCAAAATAGGAGAGGTTAAAAAAATAGTTAACTTTTCAAATGAAGCTGAGCTTGAGTATGAAGCTAAACCACAAGTATTTGATTAAGAGCGAAAATTCTTAACTTCATTCAATATAAAAGTAGGCTTTTGATTATTTTGCTCTCACTGAGTTCTAAAATAATTCGTCAGAGATTAATAACAGGTTTTGTTCTAACACTGAAATATTAAAGTGAAATTCTTACTACTCCAAGCAATAATCATTGGTGATTCTTTAACCGCTTTAAACTCGATTAAATATTTACGATCTAAATAAAAAATACTTTTTTATAACCGTCGTTGAACAACCGAACCAATTTTGGAGTTTACGACTACCAATGTTCAACTCCGTAACCTTGTTTTGATTCCAATCCAGAATACAAGGGAACTCCTGGAGCAAGCATTAGGAGAAATTTGCCTTCGTGGAGGACTTTCTGAGGGAACTAAACCGCATTTGTGTTACGTGGAGAGGAAAACCTAAAAAATCTCCCACTGTCGGACTGATGGTAAGGGGACTCTCACCCATGATCTATCTACCACTGAGGATGTTTTACGTCAGCACTGTGGTCAGTGGAAGCCGTGTGTGGAATTCGTAAAGACCAGTCTTATCTGGGATTCGAACCCGGTTCATCTCATTGGGTGGGGAACGCTTATCTTTAGAGCCACAACGGCGCATAAAAACATATTTGTTCAAAATATAAATGGAATAAATTAAGATTTTAAGAGTTAAAATGTAATATTTACTTAAAATTTTATACTATACAAAGAGCAAATAATTCCCTTCTGCACTCTGGATTAAAAGCTTTCATTTTGTATAAAAATGATATTTTTGAGTTGAAATTTTAATGCCATGCGAATATTCATAAAAGCTTATTCATATAATGGAAAAGGGTTGATAGAGTTGCGAATTTCAAAGTAGGAACACTCGAAAAGATTCCCTTCCGAAAATACAATGTATGACAATTGCTTCTAAATCCGGTGTTTCTCGCTTTTATTTGGTCTTCAAATTTCGAAACCCTGACCAAATGAGAAAACTTCTGAGAACTCGAAACGAACTAGAGAATTGCATCGCTTTTATGAAGAAAGGAAAATTTAAAACTCAAATTGAAATTAAACTTTTTAGTGATGACGGAGGTGAAGAATCCCTAGAGAGGGCGCAACGGTCGTTTATCATTTAGGAAGCTCAGGATGAGATGCTGGCAGTCGAAATGAAGATCTTGTTCTTGGCGTTTCTCTTCATCTTCCTGCTGGCTGTTGACTCGCAAAGAATCGCCATCAGGAGGAGTGAGTACAAAACATTACGTCATTTTTGTGTTTACATTGTGTTTTTATTTCTAATTTCTTAATCATATATTTTATTTAAAAATGTTAAAGAAATCTAGGATAAATATTAAAAAATTTACTTTATGCCCGTGATATATTTTACATGATTATTAAATAAAATTACTGTCAATACAGGTTTTAATTCAGTAACACGTCATTTACGTCTAATATTTTTTACGTCTAATTTTTTTCACCTACACATTTTTATTGAAAGAAATGATGAAAGAGGAAAAACGTAACAATAAATTAAATTGTTTTTTTCAATACTCTTAATTTATTTATTTCGTTTATATTGATAATTGATATAATTCAATTAAACGATTAATGATTGTTTTAATTTAATCAAGGATTTTATTGCAAAGTAAATACAATTTATTTTTTATTGAATGATAGTTTTAAATTTAGTGATATTTATTAGAATTATAGCAATTTTTGAGTTTAGAGATAGAAGTTTCTAGTTCTTTCTCACTAAATTGAATTGAATTAAACGATTAAGCGATTCTCATTGAATTAAATTTAACGATTAATTATTGTTTTTATTTAATCGAAGAATTAATTGCAAAATAAATATAATTTCCTTTTTATGGAATTATTGTTTTAAAGAAAAATTTGATTTTAGTGACATTTATTAGAATTATACCAATTAGAGTTTAGAGATAGAAGTTTCTTGTTCTTTCTGATAGAATTATTATTACTTTTTAAACTATAATCGCGAATCTTTTAATGTGATTTTTGCTTTTATGTAAACATATACTAATACACATAGTGTTATTTTCCTTATTGTTTCACAGTGTTGTGTTATCATATAATATTATAATATGTACTCTGGTGAAAATGAATAAATTGAATTTGGAAGTAATAATATAAATTTCTAAAATAATTATTGATTATTTTAGAAGAAGTATAAAATAACAAACATTTTTAAAGTTGCGTTATTCAAAAAGCCTAAAAAAATATTTTTGAATGAAACCGTATTGTATATTACTTACAAAATTCCAGGAAGGGTGATATTTAGGGGTGATAGAGGTTCAATTATGGTTATTATGATGCACTCTACGTTTGTCGTTTTAGGTTTGAAATATAATTGTTTTACCTATATAGTCTATTTGAATAATACAATTTTCGTCTTATTTTATTATTTTCTTTTTTTATGATAGTTTATTTATGTTTGAAAAGATCAAAATTTCAATGAACGATAAATTAAAGAACTAGCAAAATAATATTTTCAATTGTAAAAACATTTCACTGAAAATCATAAAGCACTTCCACTGCTTAATTTTTTTTCTGGTTATTTCTAATTAGCAACTAAAATTGAAAAATTATTTAACGATGTCATTGGAAATTAATTGTTTGGAGCAAAAACAGAACTTAAATGGCATATTAAAGATCAAATGGTGAAGAATTTCGGCACAAATGAATTACATAATTATATTTTTTTGAATGAATAGCGTTTTTCAAAATATATTCATGTAATAAGAGATTTTTTTTAATTGAAGAAAAGTTTAATTATATAAGTAAACGTTATCGAAGGTTTTTATTTACCCTAACATAAAAGCTTTTTCATAACTTACTCAACTGATCTTTCTCAGCTTTACTCATAACAAAACTAATGTCAATTAGTTACATTTTTGTTTTATCAGATCTCCTAAAATAATAGGTGATATCGGAAAAAAAATGAAAGAAAAGTGGAAGGAAATGGAAATGCATAATTTTCAGCTTTCTAATTGGAAGCTCACTTTTTTTCGTGGTGGCTCGGAGATAGCCTCCCAATGAGGTGATAGAGTTTTGACCAAAGTGTTGATATAAAAATCCCCAGTGGTAGACAGATAACTGATTAGAATCCCCTTGCCATTAGGAAAACTGCAAAAACATTTCGTTTTTTCAATCCCATGTAACGCAAACTACTATGACAAAATGATCAAAAGATCCTCTGCGTTGGCTAGATTGTCTCAATGAAAGATTCAGGAGTACCCTTGTCTTCTGAGTCCTTGTCTAGGTTGGATTCAAAATTTCAAGGCTAGGGAGTTTAACTTTGATGTCGTAAACTAAGAATCGAATGTTCAACACTAGTTATAAAAAAATAAAGATGAAGTAGGTTTCTAACGAGCCATGGTGGTTCAGGGAATAGAGCGCTCGTCACCCATTGAGCTTCCCCAAGTTTGAATTCCAAGTCGATATGAATTCTGCACATGACTTTAGGCCCCAGAGGCTGACATAAAATATCCTTAGTGGGACATGGATCATTCTCAGTGATAAATGGATCCAAATGCCGTTTTGTTTGTATGTAAAATTTTACTCTCTATTCCATGTATGTAAATGCAGGTTAGTTCCATCAAAAATCCTCAACGTAGATTAGTTTGTTCCAATGTTTGATCAGGAGTTCTCTTGACTTCTGAGTTAGGTTCAAAACTACAAAGCTATGGAGGGGAACATTGATGACCGCAAAATGTAAAAATGGGTCAGCTCTTTACATTACCGACTAAGAAAAACTATAAAATAATGTTTTTAAGATAACTAAAATTTTCAGAAAATGTATGATGAAGTCTAAAGATAAAATCGACAGAGGCGAGTGCAAACTTTTTCAGGTGGAATATTTGACATAAAGCAGTAAAATATGTCATTTTTTATTTGCCATGTACTGAAAAACTTTGGAAACTAATTTTGATACTTTGAGATAATAAAATTTGGTTTCCTCTGCAAAACGCAGTGCATCCTACAGTTCCATCCCCTTTTTCTCCTTCATTAATTAATTTTTTTCTTATCTGATTTTAGAGGCATTCGATAATTCAAGTATTCTCAAAATTTGAGAAGAATAATTAAAAAATAATTAATAATTAATAAATTTTTTCAAGTACATTAAATTCAAAAAAATACTTCTCCGGGAGTTTCCATGATAAACTTTAAGAACTTTTTCTACTCATCATTTATTTTCGGACGATTTTTTATTTTGTTCAAGATTTTTTGCTTTTAATACGTTTTTCTATTAGTTGCGTCTCTTCACGCTAATACAAGTGTTCGTAGTTTTTTTACCCCTCTGATATAAAGGAAAATAAATTAAATTAATTATTTCTCTAATAGATTCATATATAAAAAAGACGTTCTAACGAAAAATATTTCTGTAAGAGGCTGTCCATACATATGATAATCATTTTAAAAGATCTTTCCCCTCTCTCTCGCCATCTATTTCACAATGATTTTTTATTTCTACTAAAGATTTTTGTTTTTAATAAGCATGAGATGATGTATCGATTCATCAGCACTATAACCTTAACAAAAGTTGGGCTTTGCTTCATTAAATTGCATGATATAGCTCTTGATAATTTTTAGAATTTCTGCGATTTTTCTTAAAAATACAAAACACTAAAATGTGCTGGTAGTAGTTTCGAATAGGTAATTTAATAACATTCATGCCTTAATTTATATTTTTTAAAATTTGCTCTTAGAGTATAACCTTGTATTTTTGTGTAACGTGAAACCTTGTAACTTGTTGAAACATTTTGAATTATACCCAATAAATTTTATTTCACATTTTGATTATATAACTATGAACGTTAGTTCAAATTATATTAGAGATTTAAAGAATGTTTGACGTCCAAATTCTGTAATTGTGATTTATGGCTCTTTTTAAGGGAAAGACAAGACAACCTTCTGAAATTTTGAAAAAATATTTTTTTTACTTCTTTTTAGTAAATCTGTCTATCTGTTAGTGAGTGTATATTAGAACAATGTTTCAAAACAATAAATTGAGATTCATGTAAATTAGAATTGTGTAAAACTTTTTGCATTCATGCGATAATAAATAAAATAAGCTGTCGCAAACTGTAAATTTAGTCGATCATATAAGTATTTTAATGTTCGCTCCGAGACGATAACTCCATCAATTTTTATTCGCTTCACTTGAAAGTTCCAATCAAACTAATGCAATGTTTAGTTCCATTTTGTTAATTGCAAAACATTTTTGGTTGAATAAATACAAAATCTGAACTTCAGAAAGCAATACTTGTTTAATATGTCTTATTGATAAATCAGAACTTATAAAATGTATAGGTTGTTTAAAAAATTATGAAATTTTTGAACTATATGAGTAATAATAGACAAGAGCGTATAAAAAGCAAATCAAATAGTTCAGAGACACGGACAGCTGCTCCGATTCTATAACATCTCTTTCTGCCAAGATACTTCCAAATGGAAACCCTTTTTCCCTTATAATTTATACACTATTAAATACTTTAAATGCTTTATATTATAAGATATATTTTACTTTTAAATACTTTATAGCAATTATATTGGAGATTTTTTCATTAACATTTCATTAGTTTTTACTAGTTTATTTTTATCACACATCCTCTGTTATTTACTGTAGGTGACCATAAAAATTCTTGGCACAAGTTTTGGAATATTTCAAAAATGACATTTACGCAATTGTTATGAATAGAGAAAAAATGTCATTCTTTATTTCGTAATATTTTTGCTAATTAAACCTTCATTACAAAATAAATAATAATAGTAATAATGATAAAGAAATAAATAAAGTAAAAAATAAATTTAAAGTATTATCAGTCAGTAATCTGTCTGGGAAGTTGTGGAGGTTAAATAATTCACTAGTTTATGACAAATGGCATGCACTGTAAAAACTTTTGGATCAAACTACGCTATAAAGGACAGAATCTTTGAACGCATCATTTATAAAATCCATTTTACCACAAAATTCATTTTCACTGTAAAATATTATGCCTTAAATTTTGCAGTGTAATTTATTTAATTAAAGTTATTCAGTGACATTAAGATAATTATTACTGCAGAAACTGCGGTATTTCTGGTTGTAATACCAGCACCCTGAGAGCCAGTACTTTTCACCGGAATTTGATCTAGAATTTTTTTTATAATGTGTGTGGGGGGGGGGCAATATGGTAAGCATAGCCTACTAGTTACTTTTTCTTCCTAGAACCCACTTGGTTTCT